AGAGAGAGAGAGAGAGAGAGAGAGAGAGAGAGAGAGAGAGAGAGAGAGAGAGAGAGAGATGAGTTCTTCGTCCGCTTGTCTCCTCCTTCTGGGAGAGAGACAGACAGGTCTAATAGTGAAGAGCAGTTTTGGCTACCGCTGCTCTCCCAGACACAGATTTTTGAGTTCTTTCAGTGTTGGTGGTGATTCGAGGAGGTGGTTCAAGAAGAGACCGAGAATACTTTATAAGCATTGCCTTATCTTGAGTTCTTCTTCTTCTTAGTTCTTCTTCTTCTTCTTCTTCTTCCTCACTTCCTCTATATCAGCATTGCCATATCTTGAGCAGGGAGGCCTTCTTCCACGGATCTCTCCTCCCTGTTGGTATGGCAGTCGATTCTATGTCCAGATCGTCCTCTGCGTCCTCTGAGTGTGTCATTATGCATGTTTATTTGAATTGTATTCCTTCCTCCTACTATCTTCGCCGGACCAGAATGCCCGGTCATATAGCTGTATTTGATGCAACTTTCCATCTAGATACGGCGATAATGACAGGGCGTTCTATTCGGGTGAAGTCGGTTGTGTGCATTTGATTGAGCTTCCTTCCCTGCTATGCGTTTCTTCACACTCTTCCCCATAGGATTGACTTTGGCCACCTTCGTCTGTCCAACCTCCGACTCAGACATGTGGCATAGATAAGGGCATTTACTGCTGCCCTTCTACGTCTTTAAGACTTCAACCAAAGAGGAAAAAAGAAAACGACTAAAAGACAAAGACTCATTCCCCGCCGCCTTGGGCGAATATATCTCAGTTGTGGCTAAGTGGTATATCCTATATACTACATACTCCTATCATCATATCATTCATCTGTAACAGTTGATATAAACAACAAAGAGCTCACCCTTAAAAGTTAAAACCCTCATGGATACCATGAAACGTCAAACGGAACTGACCGGTAAAGCGTAGGTTGCAGAGAGGGAGAAGAGGAAGAGGACAACAAACGAGGGGCTGCGACAAACTGTTTTGTCTGAGTTTCGCTGACTCATCAGGAGGCTGAACTGTATATAAATATTAACAAGGCAAAATATTACAGAATGTGGAAAGCAAAAGCGAAAAAAAAAAAAAAAAAAAAAAAAAAAAAAAAAAAAAAAAAAAAAAAAAAAAAAAAAAAAAAAAAAAAAAAAAAAAAAAAAAAAGAGAACAAAGAAGGGAAATCGAAAGAAGAGCCATACAGTTGCAGCTGACACTAGAAGAAAAAAGACAAATTCAGAACAAACTTCAACAAAGCTATATGAGACTTTACCAACAGTGAAGTGGTCTAATGACGAAGTTGAGGCCCAAAATAGTTTCGCAAAGGCCCAAAGTAGTTCCACTAAGGTCCAAAGTAGTTCCACTAAGGCCCAAGGTAGTTCCACAAAGGCCCAAAGTAGCTCCACAAAGACCCAAAGTAGTTCCACAAAGACCCAAAATAGTTGCCCTGGCAATTCCTGAACTTGCAACTGTACACTGTTTACACAGCAGCCGGTTAAAGCAGCTGCAAAAAAAAAAAAAAAAAAAAAAAAAAACAGCAGCAGCAG